TAAGAGGCATTAAAAAATTTTAAATCGGGAAATCGAAACATTAAAAAATCGTAAAATCGAAAAAGCTGGAATTTAAAAGAAACGAGAAAATCTTAAATTTTGAGAAATCGAAAATTGAACGATTTAAAACCTGAAAAATCGAGAAATCAAAAATCCCAAACGAAAACGCGGAAAGTCAAAAATTTGTTAAAATCCAAAATCGAAACATCAAAACATCATAACATTCACAATTAAAAATTGAAAAATCAAAATCTGAAAAGTCGACAAATCGAGCAATCGAAAAATCAAAAAAATCGTAAAATCGAATCACGGAAAACGTAAAATTAAAAAAAAAAACGAAAATCTAGAAATCGACGAATCGAAGAATCTGAAATTTATAAAATCGAAAATTGAAGAATCTAAACACTGAAAAATCGAGAAATTTGAAAATTGAAAGAGAAAAAGCGAATTCAAAAATTTGAAAACCGAGAAATCGAAACCGCAATGTCGAAAAATCGAAAACTTTACAGTTAAAAAATCGAAAATGAAAAAATGTAAAATTTAAAAAATCGGAAATCTAGAAATCGAGAAATCGAAAAATCTGAAAGTTTAAAAATCCAAAAATCGTGTTGTGAAGATAATAAAAAAAATAAATTTAATACGTATTAAGGAATTTAAAACCGGGAAATCAAACATCAGAAAATCGTAAAATCTAAAAACTAAAAAAACGAGAAATCGAAAAGTTGAAAAATCGAGGAATTGAAAAATCTCAAAACTGAAATGTGGAAAAATTGCAAAATCGAAAAATTAAAAAATCGAAAAATCGGGAGATTGAGAGAGGTCGAAAAGTCGAAAAATTGAAAAGTCGTAGTAGGCTAAAATCGAAAAATTAGAAACTAAAAACTTTAGGCCGATTAATCGAAAATTGAAAAACCAAAATATCGAAATTTCGATAAATCGAAAAATTGAAAAACCAAGGAAAAAAATAACATCAAAAAAATGAACAACCCTTTCAATAATTTAAAAATTCTAAAAAATTAAAAAATCGAAAAATTTTGAACAATCGAAAAATCGAAAAATTGAGATATTGAAATGTTTTAAAATTCCAAAACTGAGGCTGAATGAAAGAATTGAGAAATCGAAAAATGCAAAAATCGGGAAATTGGAAAGATGGAAAATACAAAAGTCCAAAAATTAAAAAACTAATTAATCGAGAAATCGAAAAATCGGATATTTAAAAACGCCAAAAAGTGAAAAATTGAGAAATTTAAAAAATCGAAAATCGAGTTGTCGAGAAAATGTAAAATTTGAAAATTAAAAAAATTTGATACCCATTAAAAAATTTAAAATCGTGAAATTGAAACACCAAAAAATTGTAAAATTGAAAAATGAAAAAAGTGTAATTTAAAAAATCAAAAACCAAAAAGCTGAAATATTGACATTGTAAAATTAAAAAACCGATAAATTGAAAATTGCGAAAGCAAAACTCGAAATCTCGATAAATCCAAAAATGGAAAAATTGAAAAATCAAAAATTTTAAAAAATTGAAGGATTGAAAAACCCGAAAAATTGAAAAATCGACAAATCGAAATATGGAAATTAAAAAATAACGCAAAATTTTGAAAAATCGGAAAAATAAAAAGTCGAAAAATTGAAGAATCTGCAAACTGAACAATAGAGAAACTAAAATTCCATAAAGGAAAAGCGGAAAATCAAAAAATAAAAAAATGAAAATATCGAAAAATTGAGAACTTCAGAAATTGAAAAAATTCTCAAAATTTAAATACTGAAAAAGTAAAAAATCGAAAATCTGAAAAATCGAAAAATTGAAGAATCGAAACCCTGGGCAATCGAGAAATTAAAAAGTCTCAAAGCTGAAAATTTGAAAAATCGAAAAATTGGAAAATCGAAGAATCGAAAAATCAGAAAACCGAGAAATTGAATTTGAAAAATTGAAACATCTCGAAATCGTAACATCAAGAGATTGGGAAATCCGGAAGTCAAGAGGTCGAAGAATCGAAAAATTGAAAAATTGAAGTAGGTAGCTCAAAATCGAAAAATTAAAAATTGAAAAACCAAAACATCGAAATCTCGATAAATCGAAAAATTGAAAAACCAAAAAAATACAAGCGTGAAGGCGAAAAATCGAAAAATTGAGATATTGAAATGTTTTAAAATCCCAAAACTGAGGATGAATGAAAGATTTGAGAAATCGAAAAATGCAAAAATCGGGAAATTGGAAAGACGGAAAGTACAAAAGTCCAAAATTCAAAAAACCAATTAGTCCAGAAATCGAGAAATCGAAAAATCGAAAATCTAAAAACTCCAAAAAGTAAAAAATTGAAAAATTTTAAAGATCGAAAAACCTAGTTGTCGGGAAAATGTAAAATTTGAAAATTAAAAACTTTTGATATGCATTAAAAAATTTAAAATCGGGAAATTGAAAAATCTCTACACTGAAATGTTGAAAAATCTAAAAGTCGAAGAATCAGAAAACCAAGAAATGAAGAAATGATCGAAAATCTCATTCAGGGAAAAATTGACAAGTCGAAAAATATAAAAACCGGGAATTGAGAAAGAGGCCAAAAAATCGAAAAATTGAAAAATCCAACTAGGCCAAAAAACCGATAAATCGAAGATTGAGAAAGCAAAACATGGAAATCCCGATAAATCGAAAAATGGAAAAATTGAGAAATCAAAAATTTTAAAAATCGAAAAATTGAAAAACCGAAAAATTTAAAAGGTGAAGGCGAAAAACCGAAAGATGGAGAAATTAAAACATCAAAAAAAGTGAAAACCTAAAATTTAAAAACTCTAAAAATTGGAAATTCGAAAAATCGAAATATGGAAAATTAAAAAAGAACGCAAAATTTTCAAAAATCGAAAAAGTAAAAAGTCGAAAAATTAAAGAACTCAAAAACTAAAACAACGAGAAACTAAAAATCGAAATAGAAAAAGCGGAAAATCAAAGATTTTAAAACCGCAAAATCGAAATCCGAATTCGAAAAATCGAAATCTCGGGCAATCGAAACATCAAAAAATAAAAAAAACACAATAAAATAAATTAAAAATGAAAATATCGCAAAGTTGAAAACTTCGAAAATTTAAAAATTCCTAAAATTGAAATATTGAAAAATTAAAAAATCGAAAATCTGAAAAATCGAAAAATTGAAGAATCGAGACCCTGGGCAATTGAGAGATTGCAGAATCTCAAAGCTGAAATTTTGAAAAACCGAAAAATCGAAAATTTAAAAACGCCAAAAAGTAAAAAATTTAAAAATTTTGAAAATCAAAAACCTAGTTGTCGAGAAAATGTAAAATTTGAAAATTAAAAAATTTGGTAAGTACCCATTAAAAAATTTAAAATCGGGAAATTGAAACATCAAATATTTGTAATTAAAATCGAAAAAAAAGGAAAAGGGTAATTTAAAAAATTGAAAAACCAAAAATCTGAAAGAACTAATAATTAAAACATTGAAGAATTGAAAAACTGCAAAAACCAAGAAATTGAAAAATCTTTAAACTGAAATGTTGAAAAATCCAAAAGTCGAAGAATCAGAAAACCAAGAAATCAAGAAATTATTGAAAATCTCATTCAGGGAAAAATTGACATGTCGAAAAATATGGAAACTGTGAATCGAGAAGTTAAGAGGCCAAAAAATCGAAAAATTGAAAAATCCAACTAGGCCAAAATCGAAAAATTAAAAAGTGACTTTTTAAAATTAAAAAACCGATAAATCGAAAATTGAAAAATTAAAGATTTAAAAAATCGAACAATTCAAAAACCAAAAAATTGAAAAATCGAAAATCGAAATATGCAAATCAAAAAATTTTGAAAAATCGAAAAAGTAAAAAGTCGAAAAATTGAAGAATCTGAAAACTGAAAAATCGAGAAACTAAAATTCGCAAAAGAAAAAGCGGAAAATCAAAAATTGTAAATTTTCGAAATCTTGGGCAATCGAAACATCAAAAAATTTTACAATAAAAAAATCTAAAAATGAAAATACCGAAAAATTGAAAACTTCAGAAATTGAAAAAATTCCCAAAATTGAAATACTGAACAATTAAAAAATTGCAGAATCGAAGCCCTGGGCAATCGAGAAATTGAAAAGTCTCAAACTTGAAAATTTGAAAAGTCGAAAAATTGGAAAATCGAAGAATCGAAAAACAGAAAACCGAGAAATTGAAATTGAAAAATTAAAACAGCGAAATCTCGATAAATCGAAAAATTCAAAAATTGAAAAATCAGAAAAATTTTAAAAATCGAAAACATTAAAAACGCCAGAAAGTGAATAATTTAAAAATATTAGAATCGTAAAATTGAAGAATCCTAAAATTTAAGAATCGTAAAACTGAATATCGGAAAATTGAAAATTGAGAAATTGAAAACTTGTAATTTTTTGTTTTTTTTCCAAAAATTTCGATACCTGGGATAAAAATTCAACAAATTCAGCTATGCTTCTTAAAATTTAAATAACATTCATTCGACAAAATTAGAAGATGGCATCATCAATCCATACTTTCGATAAACTTAGAACGTTTACAAGATTTTGATTTTTTTTTTAATTTGGAGCCACACGGAAACGGGGGACCTGTGTTTTCGTACTCTAGGACTCATGAAACGTCGAGACTTGGACTCGATTCCAACACTTCCTTAGCTTACTCTCGGAAACAAAAACATTAAATTTCGCTTATTTTAGACAAAATGAGATGACGTCATCAATTTTCAGCAGGAAGTAAAAATATCGCTTTTTCTTCTGGAACGCAAACCGTATTTGCGTCTGCACCGACACAACTAACTATTCAATAATTGATTTACCATGTTAATGCCCGTAGCAACCCCGAACACGAACTAAACCCAACTGTAAAGCTTCACACAGATCGTGTTCTTCCACATAACTGCCCTCATTCAAACATTAACGTTAAGTTCAACCCAACTTGGCCCAAAATTCTCGAAACTATTTGCTCAAAAGCTTTGAAATCCACGGAAATTATGTTTAGGTTTAGGAAAATTTTACAGCAAGATTACGTAGAGATTTATTACGAAAATAATAATACTAATAACAAACGCTAATTAGCGCGGTTTATCAGCCATCGAAGACTTCTTCCACTGGCACTTTGAGGAAGATGCGATTCATTATGTTCAAACCAATATCAGACATTAGTTTCATGTAATCTTCTTTGACTTCTTCGAAAATCTCCTTGGCATTTTCGTTAAGAAACTCGTTCATTTTATCACCTAGAGCTTTGTCGCCGTTGAAGAGATTGTCCACTTGGAAGTGGATGTCACCGACTGTTACGTTCATCGCAGGATTGTCGAAATGTAAGTACGTGTTTCCGTTTTTGGTCGTTTCATTGAATGGTACTTTCAAATACACGTCGAGCGCCTCTGAGAAATCAAGTTGGAATTACTGTGTAAGTGTAAGTAAAAAAAAAAAAATACTTGCAACGGTGGTGGCACTCCCTTTTCCTTGAATCGGCAAAATTATAACTTTTCCACTAACCTCATATTCACAGTCGTTTTTAAATTCCGGGAAAAGTCCCGATATTTCCATAAATTTATTCTCAAAATCGATTCTAAAAAAATATATAAGTATACATAATAATCGGAATCGCCACATAAAACTGCTACTTGAAAACTCTGAACTGGATTTCGTTAAATCCGCTAAATTTACAGTTTCTCAATTTTTGCTTAACTGAAATTTTGTTTCGCTCGATGTCCAAGTCAATTGCGTTTATTTCCAGTGGTGTGAAATTAGGTGCATCGATTTCTTTGTAGGGTCTAGTGAACTGAGGGACCGCGTTTTTGACGGCATCCAACAAACAGACATCGAAGTCCGTTTTCGCCCTATTGCACTTTTTGAAATTTCGCGCTAAAAAAGATCAAAATATACCTATACTGGTTTCAGAATTCTCGAAATATTACGGAGTCTAGCACTCTCACTTAGCCCGACCACCACCAAAATTACTATTGGGAACTTCATCGTGGTGTCGTAGAACGCGAAATGGAATATTTTTATCGTCGTTAAGTTTATAAAACAAGTAGCAGAAGCGGCCTTGAAAAAACAAGATCAAGCTTTTTTTAATTGAGTCTTGATTGGAACATAAAATTCGGTATTAATTTAGATGTATTGTATAATGAATAGTAATTAAGTCGTTTAAAAATGTGTTTACTAAAACAGTTTTTCGATTTTTTTGGATTTTTTCGAAGACGGTATCACCGTCTAGCAAAACATGTTTTTCAAACTAACAACGTCCTTAATTAACATTTTACTTGTGTCAATACATACATGGTTATTTTAAGGTCAGCAAGACGTCTCACTGCACTTTCGACTTAATTATTATTACTTATATAAAGCAGTCTTACTCGTTTTGTGTATACAAATGTCGATGTTTATTACTCTACGAATTTCAACGTTTTCAATGTCGCTGCGGTTCAACATTTCCGGACAACGTTTATGAAAGAGATGGAGATTTGCACACGGAAAAAATACTCTAAGCCCGTTTTTAAATTTATGGAACGGGAGATTTTATATGCACTGGTTCTGCATTCATACAAGAAATAAGACAACTTTATATATTCAAGTTAAGCCGAGTTTATGGCCGTCGCTGTGGGTGATATAAGCTTTGTGTACGGGTAAAGACAAAATATTTCAAATCTGTTACGGGGATGCAGCGAAATGTTTAAAACATTGCTAAACGGAAAGGGAGACTTTATTTAAGTGGAAGTAAAGTTGTACGTCGAGGTAGATTTAATACTTTTATGTTTTGTCGACTGTTTGTGAGCTCTAGAGTAAGAGAAAAGTGGTCTCCCGTTTCCGAAACTGGCTAGTCATCCCCACCAAGAATTTGGTGACGCCACCTCAAAAGATTGTGTATTAAAATGATTTAAATGTTGTTGAATAATATATACTATAAATTGCAGAATCGATTGCTTTGGAATCCTGTGAATATTTTAAGGATATTCGAATTATTCCCCCAGGAAATGTTACTTAGGTGTTAAAAAATAGCATAGTCCTGAACTGTGGTTACGAATCGATGTTCTAGACACAAAAAATCAAAATTGTATAACGATTTTTCGATTTTGCAATTTTTCGAATATTTTTCGGCTTTTCCAATTCTTCAGTTTTTGGATTGTTCAATTTCTCAATTTTCGGATATTTCAGTTTTGTGATTTTTCAATTTTTGAGATTCTTCAATTTTTCAATTTTTGTTGTTCTTAAGTTTTCGATTTTTCCAGGGCTCAATTTTTTTATTTTTCTGTATTTCAATCCATCGATTTTTAGATTTTCTCTTTTCTCGATTTCTCGACGTATCGACTTCTCGATTTTTCACTTTTTTAATCCTTCAATTTTTCGATTTTTCAATTTTTCAATTTTCTCATTTTATCGATGTTTCAGTTTTTGGATTTTTAGATTTTTTGATCTATCCATTTATGAATTTTTTGATATTTCAGTTTTGGGATTTTTCATTTTGATTTTAGATTTCTCGATTCTTCAATTTTTCTGTATTTTCAGTTTTAGACTCATCAATTTTTGATTCTTCAGTTTTTTAATTTTTCAATTTTTTAATTTCCAGTTTTTTAATAGTTGATTTTAATTTTTTCAACACTTCATCTATCGGTTTCTTGATTTTTAGATTTTTAATTGTCCGATTTTTTGGTTTATCGGTTCTGTTAAATTTAAAATCTTTCAATTCTTCGAGTTCTCGATTTTTCGACTAATCGAATTTATCAGTTTTGGTATTTTTCAACTTCTGGATTTTTTTATTTTTCAATTTTTCTATTTTTTCATTTTTCAATTTTTCGATTTCTAGATTTATTGAGATTTCGATGTTTCCATTTTTTGATTTAACAATTTCCCGATTTGTTGATTTTGTTAAATATTAAATTTTTCAATTCTTCGAGTTCTTGATTTCTCGATTAATCGATTTTCGAGTTTTCGATGTTCCACTTCTCGAATTTTCGATTTTTCAGTTTTTCAATTCTTCAATTTTCCGATTTTCCAATTTTTCAATTTCTCTATTTATCAGTTTTGTGTTTTCAATTTTTCGGTTTTTCAGGTTTGGGATTTTTAAATTTATAAATTATTCGATGTTTCAGTTTTGGTATTTTTCAATATTTAAATTTTGCAAGTTTTAGATTTTTCGATTTTTCGATTTTTTAATGTTTCCATTTCTCGATTTTTTGATTTTTCGATTTTTCAAATTTTCCATATTTTAATTTTTCGGCTTTTCATTTTAAAATTTCCAAATTTCTCGATTTTTCAGTTTTTCAATTCTTAACTTTTTCGATTTCATTTTTCGCTTCTCCAATTTTTCAATTTTGCTATTTATGGAGTTTTTGATTTTTCAATTTTTCAATTCTTTGAATTTTCGATTTCTCGACTTCTCATGTTTTCGATGTTCGATTTTTCGACTTCTCGAATTCTCGATTTTTCAGTTTTTCAATTCATCAATTTTTTCAATTTCTCGATTTTAAAGATTTTCGATTTTTCGAATTTTCAATGTTTCGATGTTTCAGTTTTGGGATTTTCCATTTTTGGATTGTTCATTTCCCCGATTTTTTAGGTTTTTGATTTAAAATTTTTGGATTTTTTTATGTGTTCATTTCTCGATTTTTTGGTTTTTCGATTCTTTAGATTTTCAATATTTTAATTTTTCGGCTTTTTAAATTTAAAATTTCCCGATTTCTCGATTTTTAGTTTTTCAAGTCTTAAATTTTTAGATTTCATTTTTCGATTTTCGGGTTTTTGATGCTTCAATTTTTAATTTTTTTAATTTTCGGTTTTTCGATGTTTCAGTTCTGGGATTTTTGAAATTTTTATTTTTTTTATTTTCAATTTTAGTTTTTCAGTTTTGCATTTATTGATTTATCCAGATTTCGATGTTTCCATTTTTTGATTCTTCAACTTCCTAATTTTTCGATTTTCCAATTAAGTACATATCCACTTTTCCGTATTTTAAAGTTTTAGATTTTTGAATTTTTCGAGTTCTCGATTTCTCGATTAATCGATTTTCGACTTTTCCAATCATCGATTTTTATTCTCGTATTTCTCGATTTCTCGATATTTCGATGTTCGATTTCTCGACTTCTCTATTTCTCGATTTTTCAATAGTTCAATTTTTTTGTTTCTATTATCCGATCTTTTGATTTTTCGACTTTTTGGATTTAGATTTTTTAGTTTTTCAAATTCTTCAATTTTTCGATTTTCCAATTTTCCAATTTTTCAATTTTTCGATTTATCAGGTTTTTGATTTTTCAATTTTCCGATTTTTTAAGTTTTTGATTTTTCAATTTCTTAAATTATTTCAGTTTTGGAATTTTTTAATTTATCAATTTTTGGATGTTTCGTTTTGGGAGTTTTTATTATTTCAATTTCTAAAGTTTCAGATTTTTCAATTTAAAATTTTCCATTTTTCTCATTTTTTAATGTTTCCATTGATACATTTTTCAATCTTTCGATTTTTCAATTTTTCGATCTTTTAATTTTTCGAGTTTTTAAATTTAAGATTTTTCGAATTTTGGATTTTTCAAATTTTCAAGGCTTCAATTTTCGATGTTCGAATTGTCGACTTTTCGATTTTTCGGTGTTTCAGTTTTTCAATAGTTCAATTTTTCGATTCTCCAATTTTTTAATTTTTCGATTTATCAGGTTTTTGGTTTTTCAATTTTCCATTTTTTAAATTTTAGATTTTTTGCCTTTTCGATTTCTAGATTTATAAATTTTCCGATATTTCAGTTTTGGAAGTTTCGATTTATCATTTTTCCATGTTTCAGTTTTGGAATTTTTCAGTATTCCAATTTTTTAAGTTAGATTTAAAAATTTTCGATTTTTAAAGGTTCTATTTCTTGATTTTTCAATCTTTTGATTCCTCAATTTTAAATTTAAGATTTCTCTATTTGTGGATTTCTTAGTTTGTCAAGTCTTCAATTTCATTTTTAGATTTTCCCATTTTTCAATTTTTCGATTTTTTTAACTTTCGAATTTTCGACTTGAGAATTGAGAAATTAAAAACTGGACAAAATTATGTTCAAGTTTTCGGTTTCCCAAATTTTCAACATTTCAATGTTGGGAAGTTTCCAATTTCTGGATTTTTCAATTTTCAGATATTGTAATTTCCCGAATTTTTCGATTTTAAATTTTTCGATTTTTGATGTTTATATTGACCGATCCTTTGATTTTTCCACCCTTTCAGATTCCGATTTTTTGATTTTTCAATTCTTCAATTTTTCAATATTCCAATTTTTCGATTTATCAGGTTTTTGATTTTTTGATTTCTCAAATTTTCTGATTGTTTTGGAATTTTTCGATTTCTTAAATTTTCGATGTTTTAGTTTAGGAATTTTCTGATTTATCAGTTTTTAGATTTTTCAATTTAAAATTTTCCGATTTTTCGATCTTTTTTTGTTTCCATTTATCAATTTTTCAATGTTTAGATTTTTCAATTTTTCGATATTTTAATTTTCCGACTTTTTAATTTTAAGATTTGTCTCTTTCCGGACTTCCCAGTTTGTCAAGTCTTCAGTTTTTCAATTTCATTTTTAGATTTTCCAATTTTTCAATTTTTCGATTTATTTTTTTAACTTTCAAATTTTCGACTTGAGAATTGAGAAATTAAAAACTGGACAAAATTTTTTTCAAGTTTTCGGTTTCCCAAATTTTCAACATTTCAATGTTAGGAAGTTTCCAATTTCTGGATTTTTCAATTTTCAGATATTTTACTCTTTTGAATTTTTAAATTTTAAATGTTCCGATTTTTTATGTTTCTATTGCCAAATCTTTTGATTTTTCGACTTTTCGGATGTCAATTTTTTGGTTTTTCAATTCTTCAATTTTTCGATTTTCCAATTTTTCAACTTTTGATGTTTCATTTTTGAGAGTTTTCAATATTTCAATTTTTTAAGTTTTAGTTTCTTCAATTTCAAATTTTCCTATATTCCGATATTTTAATTTTTAGGCTTTTTAAATTTCAGGATTTTTCAGTTCTTTAGTTCTTCAGTTTTTCCATTTATAAGGTTTTTGGATGTTCAATTTT